AACATCATTATTACATAAAAAAAAGACTCTCTCTCTGATTATATGAGATATGAGATATGAGATATGAGATATGAGATATGAGATATGAGATATGAGATATGAGATATGAGATATGAGATATGAGATATGAGATATGAGATATGAGAGGTGTTTCTGACCCAGGGGAAGACGCCGTCCCCCTCGCCGTCCCCCCCCTCGCTGCTCCTCCGGCCTCTCTGCTGTCGGGGGGGCCGGGCCTGCAGGGTGCTGAACCAGAAGGCGGGGGGGGGGCCGTCAGCCTGTTGGGACAAAGAGACATAAAAACACGTTTAAATCACGGTCCAAATCCTTATCTTTAAAAGCATTTAGAGAAACAACACATTTTAAAGGTCCCATGACACGGCCATTTCTCCTGACCCCATTGTTGAGGTCTACTAGAACACGGCCATTTCTCCTGACCCCATTGTTGAGGTCTACTAGAACACGGCCATTTCTCCAGACCCCATTGTTGAGGTCTACTGGAACACGGCCATTTCTCCAGACCCCATTGTTGAGGTCTACTAGAACACGGCCATTTCTCCAGACCCCATTGTTGAGGTCTACTGGAACACGGCAATTTCTCCTGACCCCATTGTTGAGGTCTACTAGAACACGGCCATTTCTCCAGACCCCATTGTTGAGGTCTACTGGAACACGGCCATTTCTCCAGACCCCATTGTTGAGGTCTACTAGAACACGGCCATTTCTCCAGACCCCATTGTTGAGGTCTACTAGAACACGGCCATTTCTCCAGACCCCATTGTTGAGGTCTACTAGAACACGGCCATTTCTCCAGACCCCATTGTTGAGGTCTACTAGAATAGATTCACATTGTTCAATGTTCCAAACTCACATTGGTTTCTCATACAGCGTCTCTGTATATTATGTGTATTCACTCTCTGTCCTACACGGCTTGTTGGAGCTCCTGCCCCTCCCCTCCCTGTGAGCCCAGCTTTACTCCCTAGAGCAGGGGTATTCAACTAAAATTCAACGAGGTCCAGTTAGAGAAAATGTCCCCATGCAAAGGTCCGGAACATCAAAATGTCTAAGTTGCTTTATGAATTAGTGTGATATACAAGTAGCCTGTAGCTGTATCAACGTCTGCATGTCATCAACAACTGACTGCCAATCAAATAAAGAAAGGACAATTCAAAAACAACAATATGTATTGTCAATGAACATTGAACTATACAGATATACAGTAAATACTGTGGATGTGTGTAATGTTCCTCTCGGGCTGCATTTATAAATAAAATAGAGAAATAAATAAAATAGCTTTGTTAACCGTTTCACATCATGACTTAACAGTTTCAGACGATTATAGAACATATCAGTCTTCACACATCATAACAATTGAACAGTTTTAAAGTTTCTCTTTCTTTCCCTCTTATATTGCAGTCGCTCACTCACTTTGTTTTAATTCAGTGCGAGAATTGAGCTTGAGCTTGTCCTGCCAGGAGTTTAGATCTGGGCTGAAATGGTGTCAGGGCCATTCTCATACACACATGCAGGTGCTCATTGGTTAGCCTCGGTTAGCCTCGGTTAGCCTCGGTTAGCCTCGGTTAGCCTGCGCTGGAACCATATTTAGTTTTAATTTTGATCCTGGTGGACTGATCATATTGGGCTCTGAGACTGCTTATTTGACCTCAGTTCTGACTTGAATAGAATAGAATAGGGAGGGATGAAACCCTCTTTAATGGTCACACATGCAGAGCACACAGCACACACAGTGAAATGTGGCCTCTGCTTTTAACCCATCCTAGTACATCCTTGAGAGGGAATGTTTGGTCAAACACTTTGTGTTTTGTCTCATAGTGGCGTTTTGGCACTTTTAATCAGGGTTGGGAGGGTTACTTTGTAAATGTAATCGGTTACTGAATACATGGCTCTGAAAGTAATCCGAATACAGTTATAGTTACGTGTCTTAAAAAAGTAACGTATTCAGATTACTTTTAGAATACTTTATTTTTCCATAACAGATGGGTATGTGTTGGTGAACAGGAGACACTTATTTTACTGTTTTAATGGCTTATCAAGAGCACAACTCAAACACAACATCTTGGTGTCATTCTGGACAGCTCCCTCTCATCTGCACCCCACATAAAAAACATCACCTGGACTGCATTCTTTGTACTCTCTTAAACCTTTCCTTAGAATATGTTATGAATTGTCAGGCGTCCTTGGGTGCTTTGAAAGGCGCCCCTAAATAGAATGAATTACTATTATTATTTATTATCTGAAACGACATAACTTTTTTAAACTGTTTCCAGTCACTTGCCCCATGCATTCAGCAGCAGCAGGCCATTCACTTTGATTTGATCCTGTTATGAAATGTCATCATTTCGACAATAAAGAAATGCTACATAAACGTTATCTTGCACATTTTATCGAACCATCTCCGTTTCTATATATTTTAAAAGAGATCTCTCTCTGATCTGCGGGCGGGGGCGGGGCCTCACAGACATGCTGCATCTCTCTCTCGGATCTGCGTGCGGGGGCGGGGCTTCACAGACATGCTGCATCTCTCTCTCTCTCTCTCTGATCTGCGTGCGGGGGCGTGGCCTCACAGACACGCTGCATCTCTCTCTCTCTGATCTGCGTGCGGGGGCGTGGCCTCACAGACACGCTGCATCTCTCTCTCTCTCTCTGATCTGCGTGCGGGGGCGGGGCCTCACAGACACGCTGCATCTCTCTCTCTCTCTCTCTGATCTGCGTGCGGGGGCGGGGCCTCACAGACACGCTGCATCTCTCTCTCTCTGATCTGCGTGCGGGGGCGGGGCCTCACAGACACGCTGCATCTCTCTCTCTCTCTCTCTGATCTGCGTGCGGGGGCGGGGCCTCACAGACACGCTGCATCTCTCTCTCTCTGATCTGCGTGCGGGGGCGGGGCCTCACAGACATGCTGCAGCGCTGTGCAATGTGCACACAGTTCTGCTGGTAATGAATATTACATTTGATGAGGATTCCACCAATAATTCCAAAAAGTATTCCAAAATGTATTCACATTCACCGCTTCTCTCCCTGTATCGCTAATTATTCTCTTCACTCACTTTCCTCTCCGCTTCTCTCTGCCGCTCTCTCATCTCTTCTTCTGTGTTTCTCTCCCTGTATCGCTCACTCGTCTCTTTCGCCCCCTGTCGGCAGCGGTTAAAATAGAATCGCCCCGTCAAAATTGAAATCCCCTATTAATGTATTGATTATAGGTCCGGGTCCGTATCATAGGTCGACGTCTGGGTCCGGATCCGGACCGCGGTCCGCCTGTTGCCGACCCCTGCCCTAGAGGGTACTGTGAGACAGACCGTTCACATGCAGAAGCTACAGAACACAAGGGGACATGGGACCTTTAAAACAAAGTTAAAAGTGTCCCACTGTAAAAAGTTTAAAAGTGTCCCACTGTAAAAAGTTTAAGTGTCCCACTGTAATAAGTTTAAAAGTGTCCCACTGTAAAAAGTTTAAAAGTGTCCCACTGTAAAAAGTTTAAGTGTCCCACTGTAATAAGTTTAAAAGTGTCCCACTGTAAAAAGTTTAAAAGTGTCCCACTGTAATAAGTTTAAAAGTGTCCCACTGTAAAAAGTTTAAAAGTGTCCCACTGTAATAAGTTTAAAAGTGTCCCACTGTAAAAAGTTTAAAAGTGTCCCACTGTAAAAAGTTTAAGTGTCCCACTGTAATAAGTTTAAAAGTGTCCCACTGTAAAAAGTTTAAAAGTGTCCCACTGTAATAAGTTTAAAAGTGTCCCACTGTAAAAAGTTTAAAAGTGTCCCACTGTAATAAGTTTAGAAATGACCCACTGTGAAAGTGATACACTGTGAAAGTGATACACTGTAAAAAGTGACAGTGAAAGGTCAAAGGTCAGTGTGTTACAGAGGCGGTCAGACAGCACACTACAAGAAGTTAAAAAGAAGCACGTCGTAGAAAGTTGTACACTGTAAGAAGTGAAGCTGATGAGTTACCCCAGCGAGCGGCAGAGAGGAGCAACTGGTTTTAAAACTCTTCATCTTCATCTCCTCCTCTTCTTTCCTCTCTTCTTCTTCCTCCTCTTCCTCACAGCAGCAGATCCTCACACAGCAGGACAGAAGACCCTCCATCTTCCTCTTCTCTCTCTCTCTATACCCTCCTCCTCTTCCTCTCACATGACTCAGGTCTCATGACCCTCTGTCTCAACAGCAGCTCCATTCACTCAAACATCCGTAAACATATTTCAATATAAACGGATAAAGACACGAGGAAATGAGTCTTTAACCCGAGTCCGTTTCTTAAATAAAGACATGTCGAACAATCATTAAATAATAAAGTCTGCAGACATAAAGAAAAGAAGAAGTCAATAAAACACTCAATTGGTTAATAAATAAACCTTTAAAGGTCCCATGACTGATGTGACCTTTAAAGGTCCCATGACTCATGGCCATTTCTCCTGACCCCATTGTTGAGGTCAGGGTTCATAGATAGATAGAATTGATGTACATTGTTCAATGTTCCAAACTCACATTGGTTTCTCACAGCATCTCTGTATAGTCTGTGTATTCACTCTGTCCTACACGCCTTGTTGGAGCTCCTGCCCCCCCCCTCCCCCCTGTGAGCCCACTGTGCTCTGATTGGTCAGCTCACCCACTCTGTTCTGATGAGTCCATCACCGTTACAGCGGAACATCAGTGATTATGTTTTACAATGGCGTTTGTTAGCAACCAGGAAATGACCCCAGTAATGACAAACAGATGAGAATGCTGCGTGGGGTCTGGGGGCCGTGTTGGGGGGACGTTGGGGGGCTCGCTGCTCCGCCCTGTGAGGCTCGAGGAGCGGACAGTGAGAGCTGGCTTACTGGAGTGGTTTCCTGGGTGCTGCGTGGGGTCAGCGAGACACAGCGGACGGGGAAGGACCGGCGTGACGTGGGACCTTTAAGGAAAGCTAATAAAAACACGTAGATCGTAAAATGATTAAAATACATTATGTTTCTAGTTATTCTCTAAATGTTTAACAAAGAGGAGTCAGAGCTGAGGAGTTTATTATTCTGTTCAAACTTTCACTTTAAATTACATATTAACTATATTCTCAGTATGTACAGTTTCCTGTCAGAGCGCTCAGAGTCCCAGCAGCACCTGAATGCACCGTACTGTCAGAGGAGCGCTCAGAGTCCCAGCAGCACCTGAAAGCACCGTCCTGTCAGAGGAGCGCTCAGAGTCCCAGCAGCACCTGAACGCACCGTACTGTCAGAGGAGCGCTCAGAGTCCCAGCAGCACCTGAACGCACCGTCCTGTCAGAGGAGCGCTCAGAGTCCCAGCAGCACCTGAATGCACCGTACTGTCAGAGGAGCGCTCAGAGTCCCAGCAGCACCTGAAAGCACCGTCCTGTCAGAGGAGCGCTCGTCCCAGCAGCACCTGAACGCACCGTCCTGTCAGAGGAGCGCTCAGAGTCCCAGCAGCACCTGAACGCACCGTACTGTTAGAGGAGCGCTCAGAGTCCCAGCAGCACCTGAACGCACCGTACTGTTAGAGGAGCGCTCAGAGTCCCAGCAGCACCTGAACGCACCGTACTGTTAGAGGAGCGCTCAGAGTCCCAGCAGCACCTGAACGCACCGTACTTTCAGAATAAAACTGGAATCAGGCAGGATAAAAATAAAGGTGTTTATCTGAGGATGAAGAGGAGGAGGATGATGAAGAGGATGATGAAGAGGGGGTCAGGACTGAAGCAGCTCCAGTTTGCTTTCTGACGGAGCGGCGATGATCTCTCCGGACAAAAACAAATCCTGAAACACAAAAATACTTTTTACTAATTACACGCTCTTATTTTGAAGGGTCAAAATTACTCATGCTTTTATTTTGTTATATTTCAGATGGGCACAAAAGAGGGAACAAATGATATAAAAAGAATCTGCTAAATATTAAGTAGTAATTATAACTTTTAAAATTTATTTCTGTTTAAAAATGCTCTCATTTTGAAATGTTTTAATAAACTTTAAATAAAAGTATTATTTGAATATGAACTTCTTATAGTGTTGGTGGTGCGTTCACGGACCTGATCATAAACCACTTTGACTATCAGCGAGCAGCTCGGACAGGTCGCTGTCTCCTCTCCGTTCTCCAGATCCTCCTGAACAACAACAACAACAACAACTCAATACATCATAATTAGGTGTGTCTTGAGAAAGAAATGTTTAAATCACAACAACAGGGAAAATGTAAGAAAATAAATAAATGACAGCAAATCAATTCAGACAGACTTATTAAACGTATATAAATAAATGATCACATAATACAGAAATATAAATAAAATGATTTCAAGGTAGGAGAGTAAAAAAGAGATTGTAAACATCTGTAGAAAACAAAATGTAAATAAAATAAAGCTTTGAACAGTTTTCGGTCCTCCACCACAGAAGAAGAGTCAGCAGTTAGCTCAGTTAGCACAGTTAGCTCAGTTCCTACCTTAGAGATACAGAATCTGTCTCCGCAGGGACACGGGAAGTAATACATCTCCGTCTCTTCATCAAACTCAAAGTCCTCGATCTCCACCTCGTCGTGAAACACCGACATCTTTCAGAGAGCCGGGAAACAGAAACATGTGAAGAGCTTCAGCTCAACGTGAGCGGCGTGGGGAGCGTGATGACGTCAGGACGTACGAGACGTCATCACGTTACTGTCGACTCCGGGAGTGACGCATTACACGTGTTCCCTAACTTTGATTTAAACATGTTTTATTTTATTTTATTATTTAAAAAATCGAACTACTTTATTTTATTCTGGATTATTATTATTTTAAATAAAACATGTACCTTTGGGGTTTTATATAGATATGTTTATAATTGTGGTTAGCATTGGGTGGAGCACCACGTCACCACTGAGGGACCCCCAATCTACGCCAGGGCCCAGCGGTTGAACCCTTCCAAACTCATGTAACCGGTGTGGTTAAGCGGTCTCTGCGTTGTGTTAATGGACGAGACCCGAGCCAGCGTAAAGTTGAGACGATCTCTGTTTAATTACTGACAACAGATCAGTTCCCCTCAGCGACTCCTCTCACGTGGAACCTTTACAAAAAGGGAAGAGGAAACGTGAGGGACCCAATATGAAGGGGGGAAAGTCCTCACAACAATAAACTCCTGAGCACAGCGGCCACACTTCAGAGGCTCCGCCCACTGATCTCCGACCTTGCCAGGTATTTAACATTCAATAAAATGAAGAACACAGAATAAAATAATATAAAACACAGAATTTGTGTTTATACAATCACACAACGCACGTGCCGGCAGCGTGCTAAGGTGCACCGCCACACGAAGGCCCCCCTGGAGCAATTCCTAGTGCCTGAGAGGGGGTTTGACCACGTCAACATGGATCTGGTTGGTCCATTACCCTCCTCCCAGGGTTTTACCTACCTCCTAACTATGGTGGACAGGACGACCCGTTGGCCGGAGGCGGTCCCACTCACGTCGCCAGCGGCGGCTGACATAGCCCGGGCCTTCATTGCGACATGGGTGTGTCGTTTCAGCACCACTTCAGACTTTTCCTCAGACCGTGGTTCGCAGTTCACGTCCGAGCTCTGGAACGCCGTGGCCGGGGGTTAAGCTCCACCTGACAACCGCTTATCACCCTCTGCGAGTGTTTCCATCGCTCCATGAAGGCAGCCCTCAGACCGCGCCTAAGGAGGATCTGCAGTGCTCCACGGCTGAGATGGTCTACGGTCAGCCGCTGAGGGTCCCATCAGGCCCCTGGTCAGCGACGGCCCAGCCAGTTTTCCTGCAGGATGCCACTAAGGCTTTTGCTCCGATCCCCACGGCTCAGCACGGCACTCGGGGGTCCCGGGTTCCCGTGGAGCTTCGCTCGTGTTCATCCGGCACGACGCTCACGGAGGCCCCCTTACGACAGGCCTTTCCGGGTCTTGAAACACGGGGGCACTTAGTGGTCGACCTGGGTGGCAAGGCCGAGCACGTCTCGGTGGATGGCCTCCGCCCCCCGGTCTTGACGCCCTGTCACACAGACTTTGTGTATGGGTGAATTCTGGGGGGGCTTGTGTGGTGGAACATCACACACACACACACACACACACACACACACACACACACACACACACACACACACACACACACACACACACACACACACACACACACACACACACACACACACACACACACACACACACACACACACACACACACACACACACACACACACACACACACACACACAGATGTTTTAATGAGTTTAATATGTTCAAACCCAGTCTATATAGAACTGGTATATAGTGTTACTGGTATATGGAATATTGCACAGTGCTGACACCCCTCCAAAATAAAAGCACCTGGCCTGCAGAAGAAGTGGAGCATTCAGACACATATTACATGAACACGTTATGAACACCTTATTATATTCATACTGTCGAGTCTCATCAACACACCTGTGCCCAAACATTACATATTCAATTAAACATGAAAACAATATTTTCCTTTAGAAATGTAATCTGAAAAACGTAATTAATAATTCAGTGTTTTTCTGTATTTGTTATTATATTTGAGTAAATGATGTATTTGATATGAAGCGATATGTGTTTCTGTAAACAGAGATGATTAAACTCCAGGTGTTCGGGCACAGGTGTGTTGCCCTTCAAAATAAAGGTCAAAGGATATAATATTGATTGTTCAGCTTATTTTCACAGGAAACCCTCCGTCACCTGCACCCCTCCAAAATAAGATCCAGATCTACGGTGGCCTGCAGGGTCAATCCAGCACCAGGGGATTCTTCACATTTTGCAGATTTTCCTTCAGGTCCTCAAACGTCTCTCAGAATAAAAGTTTCTCCGTCAGAAAATAAAATAAATCTCTTCAACTCTCAGAGCCGGGCTTTTATTTTGAAGTTCCAGCGTGTCTTTAAATCCCGAACTCCAAACGAAAATATTTCCAAAATGTCTGATCCTCCATTTTCCATCTGGTCCTCGAACGCCTCACAGAAAAGATATTCCTCCTCTGCTCGTCTCTAGAGCTTCATCCCTTCTTCTTCCACCAGCTGCAAAACACCCCTTCCCCCCCCACGTGAAAACACAGGAAACCAGAGCGTCTCCACCCAGAGACACACACCCTTTCAAAATAAAGTTAGAATAGTGTGAAGGAAACAGGAAGTGCTGAAAGAGGATGTTTGTTTTAAACACCTGGAGGACAGGTGGGCGGAGTTTACCGTCGATTATCACAGCTGTTCAAGAGATGGTCCGATTCAGGTGAACTGCCAGGTGATGGGGGGGGGGGGGGTCCTCTCTCTTTAGTGGGGGGGTCACTGCTGGTTGAGCAGGGCGCTGCGATTGGCCTTCATCTTGTCGAGGCGTTTGAGGAGGTGGGAATTATTAACCTCCAGCTCGTCCACTCGGTCCAGAGCGCAGCGCAGCTTCAGAGAAAATACATTCATTCAAACACGAGTCAATAAATACAGAAATATTTATATAAAGATAAAGATAATAGAGATAATAGTTAATGAAGATGATAAATAAAGATATTAAAGATAATAAATAATACAGATTGTGACTACCCGATCTGCATCCCTACCCGATCTGCATCCCTACCCGATCTGCATCCCTACCCGATCTGCATCCCTACCCGATCTGCATCCCTACCCGATCTGCATCCCTACCTGATCTGCATCCCTACCCGATCTGCATCCCTACCCGATCTGCATCCCTACCCGATACCCGATCTGCATCCCTACCCGATCTGCATCCCTACCCGATCTGCATCCCTACCCGATACCCGATCTGCATCCCTACCCGATACCCGATCTGCATCCCTACCTGATCTGCATCCCTACCTGATCTGCATCCCTACCTGATCTGCATCCCTACCTGATCTGCATCCCTACCCGATACCCGATCTGCATCCCTACCCGATACCCGATCTGCATCCCTACCTGATCTGCATCCCTACCCGATACCCGATCTGCATCCCTACCCGATACCCGATCTGCATCCCTACCTGATCTGCATCCCTACCTGATCTGCATCCCTACCTGATCTGCATCCCTACCTGATCTGCATCCCTACCTGATACCCGATCTGCATCCCTACCTGATCTGCATCCCTACCCGATCTGCATCCCTACCCGATACCCGATCTGCATCCCTACCCGATCTGCATCCCTACCCGATACCCGATCTGCATCCCTACCTGATCTGCATCCCTACCCGATACCCGATCTGCATCCCTACCCGATCTGCATCCCTACCCGATACCCGATCTGCATCCCTACCTGATCTGCATCCCTACCTGATCTGCATCCCTACCCGATACCCGATCTGCATCCCTACCCGATACCCGATCTGCATCCCTACCCAATCTGCATCCCTACCTGATCTGCATCCCTACCTGATCTGCATCCCTACCCGATACCCGATCTGCATCCCTACCCGATACCCGATCTGCATCCCTACCCGATCTGCATCCCTACCTGATCTGCATCCCTACCCGATCTGCATCCCTACCCGATACCCGATCTGCATCCCTACCTGATCTGCATCCCTACCTGATCTGCATCCCTACCCGATCTGCATCCCTACCTGATCTGCATCCCTACCTGATCTGCATCCCTACCTGATCTGCATCCCTACCTGATCTGCATCCCTACCTGATCTGCATCCCTACCCGATCTGCATCCCTACCTGATCTGCATCCCTACCCGATACCCGATCTGCATCCCTACCCGATCTGCATCCCTACCCGATACCCGATCTGCATCCCTACCCGATACCCGATCTGCATCCCTACCCGATACCTGATCTGCATCCCTACCTGATCTGCATCCCTACCTGATCTGCATCCCTACCTGATCTGCATCCCTACCTGATCTGCATCCCTACCCGATCTGCATCCCTACCTGATCTGCATCCCTACCTGATCTGCATCCCTACCTGATCTGCATCCCTACCCGATACCCGATCTGCATCCCTACCTGATCTGCATCCCTACCTGATCTGCATCCCTACCTGATCTGCATCCCTACCTGATCTGCATCCCTACCTGATCTGCATCCCTACCCGATACCCGATCTGCATCCCTACCCGATCTGCATCCCTACCTGATCTGCATCCCTACCCGATACCCGATCTGCATCCCTACCCGATCTGCATCCCTACCCGATACCCGATCTGCATCCCTACCCGATCTGCATCCCTACCTGATCTGCATCCCTACCCGATACCCCGATCTGCATCCCTACCCGATCTGCATCCCTACCCGATACCCGATCTGCATCCCTACCCGATCTGCATCCCTACCTGATCTGCATCCCTACCCGATACCCGATCTGCATCCCTACCCGATCTGCATCCCTACCTGATCTGCATCCCTACCCGATCTGCATCCCTACCCGATCTGCATCCCTACCCGATACCCGATCTGCATCCCTACCTGATCTGCATCCCTACCTGATCTGCATCCCTACCCGATACCCGATCTGCATCCCTACCCGATCTGCATCCCTACCCGATCTGCATCCCTACCTGATCTGCATCCCTACCTGATCTGCATCCCTACCCTAACCCGATCTGCATCCCTACCCGATACCCGATCTGCATCCCTACCTGATCTGCATCCCTACCTGATCTGCATCCCTACCCTAACCCGATCTGCATCCCTACCCGATACCCGATCTGCATCCCTACCTGATCTGCATCCCTACCTGATCTGCATCCCTACCCTAACCCGATCTGCATCCCTACCCGATACCCGATCTGCATCCCTACCTGATCTGCATCCCTACCTGATCTGCATCCCTACCTGATCTGCATCCCTACCTGATCTGCATCCCTACCCTAACCCGATCTGCATCCCTACCTGATCTGCATCCCTACCCTAACCCGATCTGCATCCCTACCTGATCTGCATCCCTACCCTAACCCGATCTGCATCCCTACCCGATACCCGATCTGCATCCCTACCTGATCTGCATCCCTACCTGATCTGCATCCCTACCTGATCTGCATCCCTACCTGATCTGCATCCCTACCCTAACCCGATCTGCATCCCTACCCGACTACCTGCAGGTCGGGCTGGGATGCAGATAACAGATAATAAAGATGATAATAATAAAAACCTCTCTCTGCAGCTTCCTCTTCTCGACCTTCAACTCGTCTTCGATCTTCTCTGCGTTCTCTGACGCCCCCTTGTACCTGGACACCTGTCCGTCCAGACGGATCACCTGACAGGAGACACAGTTAGATCACCTGAAGATAACACCTGTCCTGAAGTCTTTTATTGTGTTAACAGGAAGTACATTTTGCTCCAGAGTGGTCACTTCCTGTTCAGACTTCACCAGCTTGAACTTCAGGTCGCTGATCTGCCGGTTGGCGTCTCCTGAGGAACACAGAACACACCTTTCATCAGACAGCTCAAATCAAAGAGAAGAAGAAGAAGACGGGGAGGTTCTCACTCTGGAGGTCCAGCAGGTGAGGGTCCAGCCCGTTCTGCAGACCCTCAGAACCAGAACCGCTCCTCTGGTCCAGCTCAGACTTCAACAGACGCACCTGAACACAACACACACCTCATTAATAACACACACCTGAACACAACACACACCTCATTAATAACACACACCTGAACACAACACACACCTCATTAATAACACACACCTGAACACAACACACACCTCATTAATAACACACACCTGAACACAACACACACCTGAACACAACACACACCTCATTAATAACACACACCTGAACACAACACACACCTGTTGGATAATGATTATTACGTTTAAATAGAAGCATCACCTGATCCTGTAAGCTCTCTCGTTCCTCGAACAGTTTCTTCAGACGAAGTTCTGAAACACAAAACAAACTCTTCGTATCTGTAACTGAAAACCAAAGAAAACCAATAAATGCAGCCTCAACATTCTTTAAATGTAGTGGTGCGAGAGCAGAGCCCTGAGGAACCCCACATGTTATTAATAAATCTGGCCAGTTGTGGTAAAAAAAGAACTCAGTTGTTAACCGATTATAAGATGATTTATTATGGACATTTAAATACGTTTATTTGTTGGCTTTTAATGCATTTGTAACCGTATGAATAATTCCATATATTGTATTTATTAAGAGACGTTATAAAGGAAATAGTTTTTAGACGAGCCACGAAGAGATGAGCTGATTCTTTATTGAAAGAGTTTAAGAAATGACATTAAGAACTTAAGCACACCTGACAACTGGTGAATGAAAACAGAGCGCAGAGTTCAGGGCATTATGGTGTCATCATCGAGGTCAACTGGTTTCAAGTCAGGAAAGTTCACTAAACGCATCTTAGTTCACCTTTTTCATCCCCCAACCACAACCATGTCTCAATAGTTGATCAAATAACCACAGAGGGACGTGATAGTCGCCGAGTTCTCCCTGAACACCAGTTCTCCCTGAACACCAGTTCTCCCTGAACACCAGTGAGGAGTAGCAGCAAACATCTCAATAAGCTGTAGTTGTGTGGAAATGATCGGCTACAGAAAGAACAGGGTCAACGGTCCATTATCTCAAAACAAAAATGATCAGGATTACATTTGTTCAATAAAACATTTCCTTCTGAACTCCCGGCTAATTCAACTTTATTCAAATAACAACAGAACTTTATTTTTAGTTTGTTGAATCCTTCACGCCACCGGACCAACTCCTTCTACATCCTCCTCATCATCCTCTCCTCGTCCACCTCCTCACAGCTGTCCAGGCCTCGGTCCTCCTGGTCCCCCTGGTCCTCCTGGTCCCCCTGGTCCTCCCTGGTCCTCCTGATTCTTCTGGTCCTTCTGGTCCTCCTGATTCTTCTGGTCCTTCTGGTCCTTCTGATTCTTCTGGTCCTCCTGATTCTTCTGGTCCTCCTGATTCTTCTGGTCCTCCTGATTCTTCTGGTCCTTCTGGTCCTCCTGATTATTCTGGTCCTCCTGATTATTCTGGTCCTCCTGATTATTCTGGTCCTTCTGGTCCTCCTGATCCTCCCGGTGCTCCTGGTGCTCGGTGTTTATCATCTTGTTCAGTTCCTCCACCCTCCCGTCCTGCAGGCTCATCAGCAGCAGCTCCGGCAGCACCATCACTCTGATCTCCTCAGCTGTGATCTCTAAGAACCTCCTGAAGGAGTTCACAGATCCAGAGGAGAACGCTTTGGGCTTCTTAGCCTCCACCACTTCCTCCGGTTCGCTGAAGGACAACTCGATGAAGACGGACTCCTCAGACCAGCTGTGCTTCACCTCCTCAGCGTGGACTACAGAGATCCTCAGAGGTGTGACGTCTGGAGAGGACTCGGAGACGTCCGGTGTGAAAGAAGAAACGCTGGCTTTACTTCCTGAGGCGTTCCGAGGGGAATCTTGGTCAGGATGATCCTGGTCATCTTCACAGACCTTCTTTGAGTCCACAGAGACATCAGGAGCTTCAGGAGGACCCTCCAACCCGCCGCAGTCTTTTAAAACCCCCGTGAGTCCAGCAGCACCTTCTTTTGTTTCACTTCCTCCGGTTGGTTCTTGCTCCATCGCCTCGAGCTGCTCCGACAAGTTTTCTGCAATAATCTTCACCGTCTCTTCGAAATCTGAAATCCACCTGTCGAGAGACTCTGGGACTTCTGGGAAAATCCTGGAGATTTCAGCTGCAAAGCCGGGGTTTTGCTCAAGGAAAGAGCTCAGCATGTTGTGGATCATGTTCTCCAGACAGCTCCAGTCCCTCCATATCTGGGAGGAAGACTTTGGACTCTCAGAGGACTTGTCTTGAGCTTTACCTTCTTCATTAACCCCCCTGTCTTTTGGTTTCTCAGGTGTACCAGACTTCCCCCCAGCGGTCGCCTCCTCTGCTAGTGGAAACGCATCAAGATCTGAAAGGTGACTTTCAAATCCTTGACCTATGGACACACCAGAGCACATTAAATCTCCCTTAAGGGATTTTTGTTTGTTGGGGGTACTTCCCAAACTCCCTGAAGCTTGTCTTTGGTGAACAGGACTTTGGGAAGTTAATACCAACTCTTCTCCTGCTATAAGATCTGTGAGAGCTTCAGTATCTTCTAAACGTGGTCCGTCACCTTCAGTCTCAGCCCATTCATTGTCTCTGCACCGGTCGACGGATGTCGGAGGACAGAACTCTTTTATTTTATATTCTTCTGAACCAAACTCTTCTCTATCAGGTTCTCCTTCCTGTTCTGAACATCTTACATCCTGGTACTTGTTCTCATCGTTCTTTTTCGGCTGGGGAACACGATCGACAGCAGACGAACGGTTTGGTGCAAAATCCCGGTCTGAAGATGGGTACCCCGTCACGGGTTGTTTTTGTTTCTGCTGAACGGTTGTGATGATCGAACCTGTTAAGGATTTGTCAACTTCTTCAGTTGAAACTATGCTAACAGACACCTGACTTCCTCCCAGATAACTTTGGATAGATTTGCAGATTTCATGGTCAAAGGAGTGCTCCATTTCCAGGATAAGGACGTCTCGGTTTGAGGGTTCGGTGGGGGAGGGGTCTTCTTCAACACATCGGGCCTTTCCTAACACCAGATCTCCGTCCTGGATCTTCTCAGTCTTTGTGTCCTCGGTTCTGTCTCCGTCCTCTTCATCAAAACCTTTCCTTTGGACACTGTCCAGAGACCGGGAGCGGTTGTTAATCTGTCTCCGGTTGGACGTCGTGTCATTTCTTTCTCCTGGTTCTCGACCTCTCCCTGAAACACCATGAAGAAGACATTGGAGGACCAAGCAGAGTAGAGGGTTAGAGACGGAGACTTAAAAGGGACCGACGAGAGGTCTTGATTCCAGAAGATATAAAACTCTTCTGGACGATGCTGGATTATAAACCATCGTGGAATCAAAGGGTTCAGAGGCATGCGTGGGTTAGGGAACATTCAAATAACACTGTTTCATTGGTTTTTACCCAGCATGCTCTCTCTGCCGCCATGTGACGGCTCCTTAGCCAATCGGGAGGCAGAATCTGCGTTGACATCATCCTCCTGTCCCGTCTCCCCATTGGTTGGGAGCTCCGGAGAGACGACCACTCCGTGTTCCTGTTGGGGAGGAAATCATCAGTCAGTCAGTCAGCTGCAGCCAATCAGAGGCCGGCTCTCTGACATCACACAGTGACATCACACAGTGACATCACAGTGACGTCACAGTGACATCACCTTCAGTAAATCTCGCTGTCGGACGACGTCGTCTCTGAGGCGGTCGCGTTCGATACGAACGATGTCGGAGATTTCTATCTGTCTTTCTAACGCCTGAGAGAGGAGGAGGAGGAGGAGGAGGAGGAGGAGGAGGAGGAGGAGGAGGAGGAGGAGGAGGAGTCATGCAGTCAGGAGGTAAACAGAGGAAACAGAAATATTAGTTAATGTTAATAAAGAGCAGACGTTAATAAGTCAGGACAGGAAAGTTAAACAGGAAGTTATAGAAATGGAGACTTTAAATGATATCCCTTCAAAATAAAAGCCCTGCATCATAGCTACTACTTTTGCAAAATAACATTATTTTAAGTCAGATTTGTGTATTTTTGTCTCACATGATGCGTTCAAGGCAGGGCCCTCGATTAACTTCTTTCACCATCCTCCCGGAACCGTCCCGAAATTAAAATATTAGTTTTTCTACATTATCATTAGTTAAAATCATTCAAAGTGACCTTTAACATAAATAAAACATCATACAAATCATTAGATGATAATTCATCAACCTTTTTATTTGAGTAAATCAGTCAAACACATAAACGAGAAAGTTACTCTAATATTGAATCAAGTCCCGTCCGATTGACAAAAACATCCAGCACTCTGTCCTGAAGACAGAAGACAGAGTACCCACTAACCAGGATGTCTTCTGTCCTGAAGACAGAAGACAGAAGACAGAGTACCCACTAACCAGGATGTCTTCTGTCCTGAAGACAGAAGACAGAAGACAGAGTACCCACTAACCAGGATGTCTTCTGTCCTGAAGACAGAAGACAGAGTACCCACTAACCAGGATGTCTTCTGTCCTGAAGACAGAAGACAGAACCCAGAGTACCCACTAACCAGGATGTCTTCTGTCCTGAAGACAGAACCCAGAGTACCCACTAACCAGGATGACAGTCTGTAACACAGTCAGGAGACCTTTACAACTTGCCCGCCCCCCCGCACACAGACGGGAGAGAGAGCTCTCTCGTCTGGATTGGGAAGATTGAAAATAAGATGGAAAATATCTCATCGCCGCAATTTTCGTCGTCTTATTGCATTTTTAGAAACGGAGGTTGGGTGTAAACTAAACTGCAATATTAATGTTCATTATTTGTAGCAGTAATACACATGAAGTATGTTTTACATGTCT